CCCATCTTCTGTAATTAGTCGAGTAACTTTCTAGATTCCTTGTCACTGATGATAGTTTTTGAGTTATAATTCAAGTCATGGTATATAATTCTGACTAGGGATTTCATATAACATGCGTCCTGAATTTATTCAAATATTTTAAATGCATAACTTTTAATAATAATTAGTTTATTGTTTTTTACACGTTTAAACATTTATATATAAATTAAACGATCCTTTTAGTATATCGGATTGTGGCTTATATATCAAACAAGCAACATGAAAATAACACAATGATCAAAATAAATCCTTCACTTCAAAATATTAGTCAATTTTTACCCTTGTAGTTATTAGTAAAGAAAATCTTTAGATGCTTAATTTAAGTGAAATGACATAATAAATGAGTTTAATTCTTATATACATTGCTGTCTTTATAGCCTTGGAATTATGTAGAGAAAATATCTGTATGCTTATTTTAGAGATTTTTAAAAAAGGCCCGATTAAGATCAAAGTAATATTATGATTTGGCAATTAGAGGATATTTATATCACATAAGAACAAAATCTCTAGGCATACACAATATTATGTTAGCTAAAATCTTTATAGGGCTGTTACACTATCTTCCAGCCTGCCATTTGCTTTAATCCGCCCACCATGGTTAATAAAAAAATTCTCCGCTAGCCCATTTATTTAAAAATGTTTAGCATACAAACCAATTCCAATGTTAAATTATGTATTGGTTTGCTCTTAAATTATTTTATAAAATAAATTTTTACTTAAACCTATTAAATATGGAATATCGCCGAATATAATAAATTTTTTTAATAGTTACGAGTCCCTTCTGTTCTTCCAAAGAAATATTTAAATTCACTTATCTGCACGTTGTTTTAAAAATATTTTTAGCTCTTCCGCAAGATTTAAATTTAGTGTTGCTAAACTGCCCGATTAAGATTTTAGCTAAAATAGTCTTATGTAAACCTCAAAATTTTTCGAATAGAGGTCAACACCTTTTTGAAATCTATCAGCAAAATCTTCAGGCTAACATAATTGGCTCTTTTTAAAAATTGACCCAAATCGGGCCAATCAACAACACTAGTCCATATCATGACTCCCCATAAGTAAGAGAGCCATAGGCGTAGCCGGGGGGGGGCAAGGGGAAATTCCCCCCCCTTCAGAAATTTATCACTTTTTGTAAATATCATTTTTAGCTAATAAAAAAAATATCCCCCTTAGTCCTCCCCCCACTCCCTGACCCTCAAATATGTATGCATATATCTTAATAATAGTTTAAAAGAAAGAATGTAAAAGTTGATATTTTTTTATAAAACTATTCATCATAATTTATAGATTTTTGGGAAAATAAATTTATAAATATGTAAAATGAACCAAAAATGTTTTTTAATAAATGGAATATAAGCCAAAGATAAGTCTTAAGACAAAAGTGAAATGTATTATAATCTTTCTAATAGATCCATAAAATTACTAAATAATATAATATATAAAATATAATTTTTTATAAAGTGAGTTTTAATTAATTTATCTCAATAAAAGTAAAATATAATTATAAAACTATTGATAAAATTAAGTCATAAATTAAAAAAATATTAAAGCACAATACAAACAGTATAATATTATATGTCGTAGATTTACAGTATATCTAATTATCAAATGACAATCAAGTAATTTTTACCAATATAGCGAATTATATATTTTACAGAAAACTATAAAATATTGATAAGGACATGAGAAATATCTTTTAAGGACATTGTGGGATGAATAATATGAAGATTAAATTTAAATATCATTTTTACTTAAAATAAATAGATGGCGTTAAATAATTGAATGCAATTTGTTGCTATATTTAATATCAAGAGCATTGATTAGTAAAATTTGTTAAATTATTAACTGTAATATATTCTCTAACTGTCAAATATGTATGTAAAAGTGAAATTTTACCTAGTATTTTATAACTAATTCTCAGAGTTGGGCAGTACCGCGAATACTTGTATCTAAGATACAAGATACAAGATCCTTTTGTATCTTGTACTCAGTATCTTATTGACATTTTTAATAAGATACTAGTATCTGTATCTAAGATCCTATATTTTGAAAAGAATCTTGTATCTTTTTCATTTTCTTTAAAAAGATACAGATACAGATTCTTTTTAATATTCATGTTTAAAACATTTACATATCACACAATCTAACTTTATTTTCTTCGTGAAATCTTGTATTATTTTCTTTATTTTTTCCTGCTATATTTTAAATATATTGATAACCAAGATTAGTTAGAAATTTTACAGATCACAAAGATAGATAGATTAAAAATAACAACACCAAAACTAAATAAGTAAAGGTATATTTTATATGTAATATTATTTGTAGAATGTTTAACATTTATAGTAGTGAAGATGAAATTATGGAGATAGGCTCTCCTGAATCAAATCTGAATCTTAAAATTCTAGATGGAAAATTTTATAAAGTAATTCATGTGAAAAAGGACAAGGTAGCCGAATGTCAAAATTGCACAAGTAAAAAAGTTATTAAAGGTTGAACAAACTCATCTACAAACTTTGTTAAACATATTAAAGTATATTATACATTTTTATTTTATAATTATTAACATAATAATACCTATACTTAAGTCCCTCTTAGATAATTGTTATTAAAATTTTTTATAGAAGATGGTTGATTATAAAATTAAAATTATTTTGGATATATAATTTTTAGAGGTGTACCGATACCATTTTATGGAGGTCGATCCGATCCGATATCATATCTAATTTTGTATTCTGTATAGATACCAATGGTTTTAATTTTTAATATACTTATTAGTATAACATCTATAATTTAACTATACCATAACTTATGATCAGTTATAGTTTATATTCAATTCAATTGCAATTCTAAAAGTATATAAAATATTTTTATTGTTAAATCACTTTTATATATCAAGTAATAACAATAATCTATATACATATTAATTAATAAACAATTATATTATGAAATTAGAAATAAATATTTAAAATAATATTTAACATTAATATAGCGAAGATTTCTTTTTAGTAATACCAATATTTCCAATTTATCAGAGGTCAGCTTGCGGCGATAGTAACTGTCAATATCACCAGCTTCACTAAAAACAGATTCTGGATTATCGCTAACTTTTATAAACAAAATGCGCAAAAAAATAACAATATGGTAGAATGTTTATTAATTAAATATTATTATTAAAAAAAATATACATAAAAATGGATTTCGATTTTATTTATAAAAAATAAATGATTTTAGAAATAACTATTTTTTTAAATTTTATAACATTTTATTTTTGTTAAAGAAGCCATTTTTATATCGGATCAAATTTTATAATATTGACCGATAATTGTTATTTTAATGGGTGAAATATCGGTTCGATAAAAAATATCGGCACATCCCTAATATATTTTATATTTAATTATTTTAGCAAGTTCTTATTAGAGGAAATATTTAAGCTACAATTGATATATAATATCAGATAATTTTAAAAGGCTCTTAATAAAATAATTAAAATAAGGTAGAATTTAACTTTATTAGTTACTTTTATTTATTTATGATATAAGTAAAATTATATTACAGTATTTATCTACAAAATTTAATCAATTTAAAATGCATTAAAGAAAATTGTTATATATTTAATAATTAAATAATATAATGTTGTACATTATTTTCATATTTTTTATATATAATTAATGATTTTGCAAGAAATATATTTAAAAAATTTGATAAGAGATATAAATGATATATATGATATTACAAATGCAAGAATTAATAAGTCATACTAGAAAATAAAACTAATTTAAAAAATACATAAATATCACAAACAAGTAATGATAAATACTTATTAAAGATAATGAATAAAATAAAACTAGTATTATTATTTTTTAGAGATTCCATTTAGCCATATACTCCGAATATAAGCTATATTTAAAACAACACAAAAAATAACCTGCAAATTCTAATAAATCATTTGATTTGATTTTCTTATTTGCACATTTTCAATTCCCATTAAATATACTACTCTCCCTTCCCTGTTTAAGCTATTAATGGACAAAAATTAATATTAAAATTCCTGGTTATTATAATTAATTCATCAATAAATATTTTATTAATTATTGCAAATTCATTATTATATGTGTAATACTATGTTCTTCACATATAAATAATAAAAATTTTATTTTATAAACTATTCTAATTTAATTGGTAATGATAATTTAAAAGTATCTAGTATTTAAGATACTCTAATTTAGTAAAAGATACAAGTATCTTTTATCTTGTATCTTTTTGATATTTTGAACAAGATACTAGTATCTGTATCTAAGATTCATTTTTTTTATAAAGAATCTGTATCTGTATCTAGATTCTTTTTCCGGAGGACCTGCCCAACTCTGCTAATTCTATATAATAGAGTAAAATCAACTATATGTCTACTTACTTTTTATAAATAAATTTCTTATAATTGTTTGTAAATTATTACCATGCTTTTATATTAAGGTATATACAATACAAGTAATTTATTATTTTTATTTTATATAAACTAATAAAAATATATTTCATATTTGTTCCAGGCTTATTTTTTTTATTAAAATTTGTAAAAATATTTTATGACTATATATAGACTAAAGTAACCCGGCCGAAGGCCAGGGAAAAGCGGGCCGAAGGTCCGCCCATAAGGGGGTCTGGGGGCAAAGCCACCAGTAATTTTTTAATTCCCCCACCCCTCCCCCCCTTATGAAAATCCTGGCTACGCCTATGGGGAGCGCTAAGCTCCTCTCCTCCCTTTGCATATATGTAATAAACTGATAAATTATTAATTTAAATTAATTCTTTTATTTAATCACCCATTATGCTTATGATACTTTTCGAATATGTATTTGTGTCTAATTTTATTTAGTTGATAATCAGTTGTATAATCAGATGTAATCATATCCATCAGTGACCTTCACACCTGCCACGTTATCTTATTTTATGGTAAATAGAGTATATAGTTCAACATGGCTAAAAAGTATTTTTCATTAGTAATCTATTTGAAAATTTACCGATGTTTTTAAAACGTGTTAAAGGAATAATATTTGTTATTTCTTTACTTTTAACTAGCTTTTTAGGGTCAATATTTTTTTTGCTACCATTCTTATTTTTTTTATTCATAAATCCAATTCTATACAGAAAAATAGTGGATTTTGTTGTTTATCAATGGTTTTTATTTGTAATTGTAAGTATTAATTAAATTTATTACAATTTTAATTGTGCATTATTACATAAAAATTAGGCAATGGTAGAGGTTTTTTTGGGAATTGAAGTTTTTTTAGAGGTTACTCCAAATATAAACCTCAAGTCATTAGAAAAATGCCTAATAATAATGAATCATTATAGTAGAGTTGATTGGTTGTTTTTCTGGTCTTGCCTTTATCGGATTAATTTCTTAACTACACATAAAATTATATTAAAATCACCATTAAAAATGATTCCTGGTGCAGGTATTATCATGAATTTTTAAATTGTATATCATGCATTGTATTAGGTTGGGCAATGCAAATGGCAAATTTTATATTTATCAATCGAAAGTGGGAAAAAGATCAATGCATTTTAAGTCAAACTGTTGATTATTTTTCGACAATGAAATATCCTTGTAAGGTATTATAAATTTAATTTATAATAAATATAATCGTAACAAAAGATTTTATGTGAATTTAAATATAACAAAGGATAATTTTAAATATCATAAATCCAGGACTTCAAACCAGACCTAGCAATTAAAAAAATAATCATGTCACATTAAGTTTGGTGGGGTTTAAAATTTTATAACCATAAAATTTTATTTTGGCAACAAAATTTTGATTTAAAAAAATGATTGATATTTTTAATTAATGATCCTCAAACTAAACCCATTTAACCTTATCTTATTAAACAAATTTTCCAATTTACACTTAAGGCAGACCAAATGGTGAAATTTATTCGGGAGTTAAAAGCAACATAGTTTAAACATCCAACTATATTATTTTTAAAACAGTAAATGCTATAAGAGTATATCTTGGAAGAAACATATCCCCTAAATCCTCCCCAAAACCCTATATTTGAAATAATTTCTTCTATCGAAAAATGAATGAAGATATTTTATAAAAAATATATGAGCAAATGGTATTTATATATCATTAATATTTTAAGACGTTTATTGAAATCAGAGATGCAACATGTCACCAATATCCAATTGATTATTCAAAGAAATATTTATATGTGTAAAAAAAACTTGCCCAGATCCCCCCCCCCTCCTTCTCTACTACTGACTATTAATGATCTGCATCAGGCATAATTTTTCAAACCCGGCCCAGCCTGAAATTTTTTTAAAAAAAGTTTTGCCGGCCCGAACCCAAAATTTATTTTAAAAACAGGCCCGAATTATTTAAATATAGAAATTAATTTTATATTTACTTAAAATAAAATACATATGTTATATAGTGTTTAGTTTCAATAAATTAAATCAAAAATTTTTATTTTACATAAAAAATTCAATATAAAATTGATAAATTTAGATATATTTAATAAAATTTCCAAGGTCTGACCCAACCCGGCCCAAAATTTTTTAAAAATATTAGGCCCTGCCCAAACCCAATTATTTTAAATAGAATTAGGCTCGAGCCCAGCCCGAAGCCCATTCAGGCAAGGCCAGGTATGGGCCAGGCCTAACTTTGCAGATCTCTACTGACTATTATATTGTTCATTGCTTTTGTTTGGTAAAATAAGTAAAGAATTTTACACAATAAAATGCTGAACAAAACAAAAATTTAGGATTTTCATCATAATATACAAAATTTTTATTTATATAATTGGGATGTAATTCACTAAAAAATTTTAACCAGAATTAGCATAGGGCAATATTAACAATTTAAAAAGAGTATTTTACCAGAAACACATTTCAGAATATGTTTTGGAAGGTAAATCAGTAGATTAGTTTTATATTATAGGTTAGACACTGGTTAAAAAATATTTTGAAATGGGTAGGTGGTGAATTTTAAACATTTTTTAGGCAAAATCATAAATTTATATATCATATTATTAAGTTTATATGGAAAGGAATGATCAATCCACCATTACATCTTGAAAATATGATCACTTAAAAAAAATTTTAGATTTTACTTTTTCCAGAGGGAACCGATTTTTCGTTGGATAACTTCACCAAAAGCAAAGAGTACGCTGTGAAAAACGGACTTCAAGTTTATCGTAATTTGCTTCAGCCCCGAACGACAGGGTTCGTTTATTTGGTGAACAAAATGAGACAAAGTTAAAGAAATAATAAAATTAACCAGTGACACTGGAAAGAACTCTAACAATTTTCCTAAGTGTCGTAGCAAAATCTTAAAAGAAAATAACAGAACCGTTTTAAATACTTACACTCGAACTGGTTCTTAGAAGTTTTTCAAATTATATTAATGATTAGCTTAATTTAAAAAATAAATAGTGCAAAAATTATATGCATTTCTTATTCGTGTTTTTTAATAAAATAAAAAAATTCAACTTATTTTGGGTTTCTTTTAAAAAGTTTTAGTTTTTTTAAATTAGATTATTATAAGTTAATTAAAGAAAAATTTAAATAATATTAAAACTGGAACGAACCGATATACTGAAACATGCCATTATAAATTTGACTAAAAATAATTGGAACGAAGCTGTTTTAAAGTTTTAGACTAAGAACTGGGATCCTGAATTGTTATACTTAACGGTTCAACATCCTACATATTAACCAAAAAAAATCCTTAAAACTTCAATCTCCCTTTTAGATTTTCTTATCAACAAGAATAGAAATTTTTTTTACAAAGTTTGTTCTTTGATTTTTCATTTTTTTTTAGAATCAATAATAAGCACAACATTTTGTATCAGTATAGAAATTAATGTTTATTTATTAAACAAACTTATAATGTTTTATATATTGTTCATTTTGTTGTACAATAGTAGGATCATCTAATAAAATAATCATTTATGAAGTATAATACATTTAGACTGTCTAATTTGCGAACTGCTGGATCCAATATTTTATCCAAATTAGACAGTTACCAAATTTATCAGAACTTTTACTTAAAAAATCATTTTATGATCTCTTACATTCTTAGTTTAGCATAAAGTGAGATTATGTTCAACTTTTTTTAATTTTTATTAATAATTCAAAATCGAGTAAAATTATGTATTGTATACATAAACTTAAAAAAGATATAATTATTATAAAATGGTTATATACAAAATAAAAATAAATATATAAAATAAAATAAGATTTTATATTTGTTTGTTTATTTGGTACAATATATTTTATTTGCAGGTCTATAATCGCATCTTCAATAGTATTTATTTCTTGTAAAATATCAGGCTTTTTAATAAAGAATTTTAAATTTTTGATAATTTCATTTGCCTTATTTTCAGGCAATAATCTAATTCGTCTATATATATCATCATCCTTATTAGAAATGCATATAATTTCATCTTCTACAACATTATATTAGCTAAATAACTAAATATCTCAATTATCCTTATTTTTATTATAATCATATTCAGCATATAAAGCGTCAATTTAATGTATAAAATCATAGCAGGATATATCTGTCTTTAGTAGTTGAACTTACAAAGTCTTGGTCCTCAACTTCTAAAATATCTTCTTCAAAATTAAAAACAATTGGAAATCCAGATTTGAAAAACACCTTTTAATTTCTGGTGTTAGAAACTTTTGATATCCAATGGACAGAATCTAAAATAGAAATTAGATTAATATCAACACATGAGTTAATTTCCATATCATAAATTGGACTTTAAAAATACAATATATAAAAAAAATTAAATTTAAGACATGAATGATTATATATTACCAATTAATTAGGGATATGCCGATTCACATATTTTTAACTGATCCGATCCGATATTTTTCAATATGGGTTCAAAACCGATCCGATATTTATACTGATTCCCCCCCCCCCCCTTTGAACCAAATGTATAAGAAATCAATATTTTTTATGCAAAAAATCTATTTTTTTTTATTTCTACAATTATGACTATAATTAAAAATAAATAATATCATAATAGATAAATATTATAATAATGTAAAAAATATACATAACATAAAATAACCGATATTTTTGGAAAACGCTAAATATCGATGCCGATCCGATTCGATATTTAATATCGCACAGCCCTACTATTAATAAAAGATTTACAGTACATACATTAAAGTTTTGTATCGCACCTTGATGTAATGGCTGCATTAATGATGTTATATTGGAGGCCAAAATAATAGTTTTATATTGGAGAATTCTTCTTGTTAATTTCCTTATCATTGGTAATGTAATAATATTCACATTTTTAAAGCATCTTGGTTTATTAGATTTCCCAATAATTAATGGTTTTTTCTGAAAAGTATTATCATCGCATGGATAACTTTTATGATGGTCACATGTAGCGGTTGTCACAGTGATTGTCATAATGGTTATAGTAGCGATTGTCATGACGAATCTGTTGTCTGTCGTGATGCATCAATATTGAGTTGTTTTTGTATTAAATAAATCGAGTGTTTTCCTCAGCTCGTGAATGCCATTTATATGAGTCTCCTCATTGGAAATATTTTTGGCATCATGCCCTTTTATTATATCGGGAATTGACCAAAATTTTATGCCCCAATAAAATTCCTATTTAAAATTAGAAAATGCCATAATAAATTGAACAACAAAAAGTGAGTTATTTTAATTTTTTACTACTTGTTAAAGACTCCTAAGTGGTCATTTGTTGTTTTGCGCATTTTCTCATTTATATTATAAAGTTTATCATTTCTTTAAAACTATTTATGTCAAACAACAAAATTAATAAAAAACAAATATAACAAGTTATCGTTAAACAAAAAAAGAGATTAATTTTTTAGATCCATAATCCTCAAAGAGAATGTGCTAAAAGAATTACATTTCTAAATGAACTGTTTATAATATGTATAAATTTAAAGAAGACTAGATATACTTAAAATTACTGAAACTTAAAATATCAAGGAATATACCTTAGTTTTAAAAAAAACAAGAACTTATGAAATCAATTTCTCAGGCCCAATTTTACAAGAAGCAGCTCTTAAATCTGCTCACCAAAAGCGGGATGAATTTAGTATCTGATTTGCTTAAATACCTTAAAAGAAAGACTTATTTGCCAATTTGAGGCCTGACATATTGATTTCATAAGTTCTGGCTTTTTAACATAATTCCCTGGTATATTTATTGATTTTTTCATTTCATTTTAAGTTTTCTTTTTCTCTTATCTGATAAAATTTTCTTATCATGGCGTTTGGTAATGCCTTTGGATTTACAAATATTGTAAACGTTCCTTTAGAAATGTAAATCTTTTCGCACATTCTCTTTGAGTATTTTGATCTAACAAATTAAACCTAAATTTTTATTTATCGATAACTCGTTATATTTATTTTCTTTATTAATTTTATTTGATATGAACAAGTTTAATTTTTTTTTATAATATAAATGAATGATTGCAACAGAAAACAATGAATGCCCACTTTATAGAGGTTTTAGGCGAGTAGGCAACAAATTAAGATCTACCCACTTTTCAAAGTTAGACGTTGCCCAATTTATCAAAACATTTTCTAGTAGAAATTAATAGAAATTTGATTGGGACGAAATTTTTTTGGTCTAGTTAGGAAGTTATCCAAAGTGTCAAGAGCCCATATTAGACAGGTTTGAATGTAATCATAATAAATAAACAGTTATATTTACCTTCTTTTTCATTATAATATATATTGATTTTTCATAATTTTTGCTCAAAGCGCGAGGAAGGAAATTTTATTTTATAAAATTATTTATTGCCGCAAGAAAAAAGATTATGGTCCATCTCGAGGAATTTATTTTTAATCACATGGCTTGTCAGATTTGACAAATTATTAATAAAAAGGATTAAATTTTATTAAAAACCATTTTTTAATATATCTTAACACTAATCCACACATTTCAAACCTTTAATTAACCCTATAGCATATCTCTAATCTTTAATCCTACATTACCTTTTAATTTATATTTCATCCAAATGAAAAATTTCCTTGAAATGGAGAATACCTAGGAAAATAATATTTATTTAAAATATGCTATAAATCGTAAAAATTTAAAATATTAATGTATTTATTTAAATGCAGGCGTGTACGCAGCGGAGGGGGGTAGGGGACAAATCCTACCTCCCCTCTCCCAAGCCAAAAAATCCAGATGCCAGCTAAAATATTTTCCAAAAATATTACTGATTACTACATCTTATTGCATATATAGTTCAATTTACATCTATTTATCACATTCACAGCAGAAATAAATAGGCTACTAATTTATTCTATAATTAATATCCATTTCAAATTTTCCATGGCGCTATATTTATCAAATTATTTAAAACTTTTAAACTGCAAAAACTAAAGTAAATTGTTACAAAAAAATGACATCGATATGATTGAGTCAATGAGAATAGCTGAAAGCATTATATTGGTAAGGGAATTAGGGCAAATGTAGATAATGAATTTCATAAAATGGGTCATTGTTGAGCCAAAAGCAGAGCATGAATATAATATTTATCTACCTCGAGTCGCAGAAGGGAAGCCTATCGTTTCAATATTAGTATAAAGTCAGTCGAAGAATACCATGAATAAATCTCTTTATCCCCCTCATGGGTATTTTTATAAAAAATGAATGAAAGGTTCTTAATTAATCAGGCAACACTTACAAATTTGCAAATATTATTACCACAGAATCCTTCCGAATCTATTTCAAATCTTAATTAAGGAAAAATTAAATATTTGGCAGAATTTTATTGTGAGTATGTTAAAGTATCCCATGATGCATTACTAGCTGACTGCAAATTATAGCATAATAGGTTAAATATTGTTGATAATGTTCCAAGAAATGATTTCGCATAATTTCAGACACATGTAAATATTTTATTATATATTTTTCTACCAATAAATGAACATTTCCTTCTTTAAGAATAATAAAAAACATACATTTTAGCCTATTTTTAAAAACCAGAAAAATATTGTCTAAGCCTTGAGATTTCGCTATAGATCCAAATTAGAGTGCAATGGGCGGGTTATAGCCAAAAAGCCCGCCCACGCGTTGTTTTGAATTTTTTAACCCACCCGCTCGCCCACTTATAATTTTTTTATAAAAATTTACCCGCTCGCTCATTTAATATGCAATATTATGAAATAAAAGTATTATTTTTAATAATTTGAAGCCTGTTCTGCTTCGCCTGAAAAATATTAAAAATTCAACGCCCAAGCCCGTCAATAACTTTAAGAAAAATTTATCCCACCCGGAACCTCCTCAATGTTGAAAAACCTCTAGTCCAAATCCTTGTGCCATCTATGAAATATTCAAATTTGCTTAATATTTTTCTGGACATTATATTGGGTTAGTCGCTTTCAAAATTGGCTCAAATTGAGCCGTTTAACAACATTACTAAGAAGTACTATCTCTAAAAAGTTTTCTAATATACATAGGCAGTTAATACCAAGCACGGATGAAATCATCGAAAAATTAGCTCATTTCTAAGAATAGTTTATAAATTTATAATATGCTTTTTATTTTTTACTATTTTTAGTAGTGTTGTTAAGCGGCTCGATTTGAGCCGATTTTTAAAAACCGCTAACAATATTTTATCCACAAATATATTACCTAAGCCGGAAAATTTTGTTCATAGATGGCACAAAGGCTTGAACACCCATTAGCGAAATCTCGAGGTTTAGGTAATGTTTTTCTGGCTAAAATATTGAGTTATCCGTTTTTAAAAATTGGCTCAAATCGAGCCGTATAACAACACTAATTTTTAATTAACATATTTATTTCATGAATATTTTGGAAATTTATATATGCAATAATTCTTAATAATATTTTTGTGCATTAACCTATATTTCCAATATTTTTTTATATATAATTTAAACTTATATATCAAATTTTATATGTTAAAAAATTATTATTTTACAATGCCCTTTTTCAAGACATTTATTTCATGATTCATATGCCGATTATATATATTTAATATTTTATAGTCACTAGTAGTGTTGTTAAATGGCTCGATTTGAACCAATTTTTAAAAACGGATAACTGAAGATTTTAGCCATAAAAATATTGCCTAAGCTTCGATAGATGTTTAAACCTTTGTGCCATTTATATTTATGAGCAAAATGGCTTGGGTTATATTTTTCTGGGTAAAATACTTAGTTCGCCGTTTTTAAAAATCGGCTTAAATTGAGCAATTCAACAACACTAGTTACTAGTCTTAATAGATTTATGAAACTTAAATTATTCTTAGATGACTCCGAATAATGTTTATAAATAAATTTAATTACCCCCCAACCCCCCCCCCCCCCCCCCCCCCGCCCCGGCCCCTCCACAGAAAATTCTTGCGTACACGCCTGTAAATGGGTTTATAATTATTTTAAAATTGGATGCTAATTATAAAATAATATGGTGCTAATCCATTTTTCAGAATTGATGCTAATTGAAAACTAAGTACCTAGCTAGCGACGTCCCTGTGATCAATATACGATTTAGAGATTTTAATTATAAAAGTGTTCGGATCATCTCTTAATTTTCAGAAATAAAATTGTTATTTATCTTATTCTCTCTATCATTCCTCTTAAGAATCCTGCTTAGAAACCTGTTTAGAAATTATCTTAAATCTAAATTGTAATATATATTTTCAATCTTTTTTCCTGCATTCCTATTTATAGACATTGGAACACTCGTTACAACATATCACCGAATTATTTCATTACATTTTATGTTTTCTTCCATCAATTATTTTTTTATGGTAACCCTTTTTTTAATTGATTAACTTATTTTCTTCCTTACCCTATCTTTACTTTATACCAGAATCATGCTTGGATACCTTGTTAGATGTTACGGTTAGTTATCATTCGCGTTATTCAAAACCTCAAATAAAAATGCCACCATGCACAGAATCCGACATTTTATATGGTTTTTACCCCGAATGCGTCAAATTTTCCTTCAAATCTTACCCCTCGCGGCAAATCCCCGAAAGCTCCGAAGCTCTTACCAGTTGGTGTAGGGCTCTGTGGGCCACAAAAGATCTAACATTGAACGCTGAACACGAAACCTCCTATGAGGATGATAGTTTCAACTTGAATGAAGGGAATAAATATTTTACTCCCTCGAGCGATAGAAAAAATCGTGATTATAAAGGATTAATAATATTGAAAAAAAAATCCTATAGCAATTATAATTACTCCTGGAGCTTTTGGATTCAGCCTTATCTAATTATAATCGGATGGAGTACGTTCGTGATAGTCATTTCATATGGGTTAGGTGGAATTTTAGCGGAAAAATTAGGATACGTAGGAGTTTATATATGGATCAGTTATATCCTTTGGGCATATACTATTTTATCTTGCCTTATTTTTACACTCCTATACTACAGAGTCGATCGGGTTTTTTTCGATAAATCAAAAATCGGAGAAGATACTGGTAAATTTATCATTTTATTTTTAAAAAAAATTTAGGAACCGATTATAAATAATTATTTTAATTAATATTTATAACTTTTTTTAAGATAAAAATTAAAAATTTTATTTAATTTGAAGTCTATCGAATTTGATCATTGATAACAAGTATTTTGTTCTATTTTAACTAATTTTTCTCTCTATCGAAAAGTACCAAATCCTAAATTGACGGTTTTCTATAATAATATAATAATAAGGGAGGCCGGGGTAAAGCGATTGACGGGGTAACACTGTTAACGCGAATAACTTTTTAGCTATTGAATATAAAATCCTTAGTGTATTTTTTTATATTTTTTAATTATATTCATTTTTTGGCAAATATTCCTCAATTGTTTGATAAAAAAAATCGTTTTTTACATATAAATTTTAAAAATCACCTCGTATTTTTTACTTTTAGCAAAATATATTTATTTAAATGAGTTATAATTGCACACATTCCCCTTAAAGGTAGCTATAAAATAAAAGTTATAATGGAAAGGATGTCTTGCTTTCTAGTCAACTTGTGCCACATTTTTGATATTTATAGGGTTAAGATATTTTCCATTAGTCTGATTTCCACTTTTCTCTAAATGCGGTGTCTCAAAAGTGATCTTATTGTTTTGCTTGGTTAGACCTCAAGCCATTATAGTTAAGTGATGGCTAATTCGTCTCAATTTACAGTCGCATGTTGGAATATCGTTAACATTAAGGCATTTTAATTTTTATTGGTTTCTTTCAAATCTGAAGTGCTATATCGTCAAGAAAAATCTCGAGGCATAGGTGATAGTTTTCGGCTAAAAACTCGGTTTCATCTAAAAATTGGCTTAAACGGCTAAAATATAGTAATTACCCAACTATACTAGCTATTCATAACCAGTCTTGTACAATTAATGGAGGTTTGTAAGCTACTCTATGCCTTCTTCAAAATTAAGAGTCAACAACACCATAACGGAATTCCAATTCATTTATGATCTGTTTAAAATTAATTCCCTCTGTTACATTTGCCGACCAACAAATGGAAGATTAAAAACAAATTTTCAGTTAGTTTCATTAAATTAAAAATAGGCTTTCGGTAATTGATAGCGATATGTGTATTTAACGTCGCAATCGTATTGGCTTCTAAGAAATTTATTAAATTTTCAAAAAAAGTGAGGTCATGAGGCTCTTATTAGTATAGAAAGAAATAAAACAAACAGTAGTAATATATTTGTTTTATCATAAAATACAGGGTTAATATTATTCTGGCGATTGTGGAAATATAATTTGTTGAAAACAAATAAATATCATGAAATTTGCAACATATATAACGAAAAAAACAATAGATATTAAATAAACAGAAAAACATACAAATGACGGTCTTGGTTTAGTGTTAAAAGAATAACCTAAGCAAATTTTTATAAATTAAAGATTATAGTAGAAGGTAGAAAGTAGAACCAGAGATTTGCGCCGACCTATCCGAGTTTAAACCGAGTTCAGTTAGAAATAACAATTTAAATTTATTTTCCTCGCGAGCCTTTAATTTAATCGCTTTCTTTGAAAATAAGGAAATTATAATTTTTTTAAAGCAGATTGGATAGGACTAAGGCTTTCGAAAATAAATTCTGGACAGACCAGTTTGGATCTATAGGTCTGATGCAGCACTCTATTATACCAATTAACATATATTATTATTTATTATTGCCACATTATAGGGTTAGATAGCCTGGCCATTGACTATACTCGTTATTTTTTCTCTACAAAAGAAGAATAATCTGAAAGCTACAGTTGCAAATATCGAAAATTTAATCTACTTATGCAAAAAACGCCGATATATTTATCGGTAATTATAATAAAATCAATCGTTGCGAAACATCGTTAATAATTATTTACGAATCCAAATAGTATTTTTAGTCGCGAAAAAATATAAGTTTTGTAATTTGTAAACAAATAATTTACTAAATTGATTATTATTTTTACGGTTTATATTGTTTTTATAAATGAAATTTTTGATATACTTATACGTCCAAGCCTGTAAAAAGGTTGTTTTAAAACAGCACATATTTTTAAAAAGATTCATTATTGATTTTTATTACATATTTTTTTTAAATACAACTTTATACTTATTAATTAGATCAAATTTTTTATTTTTATATATTTATGAATTGTAATATCCAAAAATTCGTCCCATGACTAAAATGATGTCTTAATTTTATTAGCTAAAAAATATAATTAATTATTACATCTTAATTATTTAATTATTATATTGCTTACAATTGAAATATCTTTATTAAAATTAGTATTGTTTAGACTCGATTTGGGCCTATTTTTAAAAACGGCTAACTCAATAAATATGGCCTAAACCTCTAGATTTCTCTAATAGATGTCCAATCATTGTGCCATCTATTAGCAAAATTTTAAGGCTTGCGTAATATTTTCTGAATAAAATATTGAGTTAGCCATTTTTAAAAATTACTCAATTCAAGCCGTTTAATAACACTAATTAATATATTTTAAAAACTATTTTGTAAAAATTTTTATAGCTTGCTTATATTTAGGTTTGGAGTGCATGAAATGAGATTTATAATTATCGCTAAAAACTAGAAATAATACTATTTTTTTGCGGGATAAAAACAACAGAATCTAACAATATTCTGACTCAAGTCCTGCATTTTTTGCCAGAAGCTATGTTCGGGTCTAAAAATAAATAACAATTTTGGCTGGGCAAAAAATTAAGACTTATATTTGTATGAAAATTCTATGAGATTATAATTTTTATTTTATAATTTTAATAAAAAAACGTATTTTCCAATGAAAATACAAATTGTAGGACTAATTCTAAATTTCTCAACTGCTATTGTGTGTTAAAATTTCATATTTTAATTTAATTGTTAGAAGAAATTGGAGTAATTCTAAATTTTTCAACTGCGATTGAGTGTTAAAATGTCATATTTTAATTTAATTGTCATAAGAAATTGGAGTATCATGTTATTGTTTTTATTATTATTATTGTTCTTTTTTTGCCTCTTCAATTATATTTTATCTGTCATCTTTCTTCAATTCTCTCATTTTTATTTTTTTTCTTCTATTTTTAAATTTCATTTTTAATATTTCTTTTAGTCTCCATTCTTCACTTACTCTTGATATTTCTTTTAATTTTTTTTAATTATTCTCATTAATTTGCAAATTTTCACAGGCATAGTAAATTTTCATGGGAGTGAAATATTTTTGACTAGCTACCTCTTATTTTATTGGTGAGACCCGTATTTTGACGCCTAGTTATATTAAATTATTTAAAATTCGTTTTACACAGAGATTTAAACCGCACCCGAGCAAAACCATTAAATCCATATTAACCGTTATTATCTAAATCGTCAAAAATGGTCACCCTTGCCTACTAATCTCTTATAAGTTATATGAACTGGTCTGACCTTTTAACGGTTTTAAAGATTATTATCAATCAATTTTGATTAGTCATCACTTATAGATATTTTGGCATATGACTGTGCCAACCACACGAGTTAATGTATAAAAGTATTCTAAACCATAAAATTTATTTTTTTCTCCTTATAGCTATAATTTGATAGAAGGCTTGGTCTTTTCTTTCTGGAAATAATTTATATTATAGTTTAAATACTGTTTATTTGTTATAATTCATAATAAATATATTTGTATGTGCAATAATAAAATAACTTTAGTTGCTTTATCTGTGTATTCAGGCTCAAACAGTGTATTGATATTACTGTCGGTATTTAATAAATTAAAAATCTCTCAAAATGAAAAAATTTTATGAAATTTATTGGATAGGTATTTTACACATACTGGAATAAAAATGAGATTTTTAAATTTAAAAACACGCCCAATTAATCATTTTGTTAATTTGCAACAATAAATTATTTATTTCCCTCTTTTTTAAAATGGAAAATCTGATTTTGCTGTAAATGTATTCTAGAATATATAACCTATCTTATAAATTTCTCATGATTTTATAAGATATGACCTGTGATTACGCACATTGCCTGTAAAACAGTATTAATATGATTTGTTGTAACACATTTTCATAATGTGAATAAACATTCTTGTATAATTAAATAACTTTCCATAATTATTGTAAAAACATTTTGATAAAATTTTTGATAAAATTTTTGATATAATTTTTTTAATAATAAGAGTTTTTAAACTTTAATGAAGATTTACGTCAAAGTTATATATCGAATATAATTTTTTTATGTTTTGGACCCAAGTTTAAGTGGGAAAATGAGAATAAAATTTTCTAAGATTTTTAGAATAATTTTTTTTTTAATTGCATTATAAATTTTTTTAAATTTAAAGTATTATTACAATATATTAATATTACTTTTAGTTATCTAAAGAATCGAAATCAGGATAAGAAATTTGATAATTTCTTAATAAACATAAGTGAAAGAAAATTCGAATTTAGGGTTTTCAGATAATTCTAATTTTTTTTAAAATTAAATAAAATTTAAAATTTCCTAAAATGACGCATACCAAAAATCATCGAGATGTGCCACCAACCATTCTACCAATAACGGAAGCCCCGACACTTCAATTTAACTTTCCGTAATTATTGTAAAATCTTGTTGAGAAAAATACATCCTTTTTTAAAAAAACTTTTAAAAACTTGAAAGAAAATTTTGAGAAACACATTATATTTTTAAAAACTTCCGGTAATTAACTTAAATTAAAACCTATAATAATTCTTTCTTAAATTTGCGACAATTTTAATTTTAAACTTCTATATTTTATAATTTATAATTTTTTTTTCTATAAAAACTATATTTCCATTTTTTTAAATGTCAAATTTTATTATCGCTAGTATTTTGAATCTATCTCCAGTTTCAGGTTTGTTAATATAATATTCTATTATTTACTAACCTTATATATAAAATTCTAGATACACCTAATGAAACTTTTAATTCTCACGGGGGGTTATCTGAAATAACAAATAGATACCAAAGTTATTCACCTATCCCATCAAATTCCCTTAGATGCCTAACTGACATTACAAATCGATGTTATTCGAATATTCAAGAGCAACCAAATTTTGATCCTATTCGTTTATTACCTCCCTCCAAGGGGAAAAATATATCAGTCCTATGCATAATAGGAATAAGTGGATTGAAAAAATTCACAATAATAGATGGGGCTTTTACTGCGATAAAATTCAAGGCATACCTGGATGAATTATTCTCACTTTTACCATCAAATTCATTACTTATAATGGATAATGCTCCTATACATCGAGCGAGGATAATTAGTGAGAATTATCCAAATATCATATTTTTGCCACCCTATTCGCCGCAATTAAATCCGATAGAAAATTTTTTCGGAGTAATTAAAAATCAATATAGATCAAATTCTCCTAAACCCAATAACCGAAATGAAGTTATTTCAATTGTTACGAGTATTTTAGGCAATTATTTTACATATAATTTTTCAAATTTTTATTCTCATACCATAAAGTTTATTGAAGAGGGAATTCGATGCATTCCTTTAAATGATTGATTTTGGTGTTTCGAATTGATCATAAAAAATTATAAACAAATAAGAATTATCTGAAAACCCTAAGTTTTCACTCATGTTTATTTAAGAAATTATTCAAATTTCTTATCCTGATTTCCATTTTTTGGATAACTAAAATTAAAATTATAATATTGGAATAATGTTTTAAATTTAAAAAAGGTATTGAATATTTTTTTTATATAATATCTTTTAAAATTCTAATTTTTCCACTTAAACTTATGTCCAAAACATAAAAAAAACTATATTCGATTCATAACTTTGAAGTTAGTCTTCATTAAAGTTTAAGAACTTTATTATTAAAATTTATTTTTGAATTCTCATTTTTCCACTTAAACTTGTGTCAAAAAAAACAATTTGATTCATAACTTTGATGTTAGTCTTCATTAAAGTTTAATGTTTAAAACTTTTTAAAATTTTTAAAAAAATTTAATTTATATCAAAATGTTTTTTACAATAATTATGGAAAGTTATTTAACTATACAAGAATGTTTTTTCACATTATGAAAATGTGTTACAACAAATCATATTAATACTGTATATAGTAGGTAGATAAAATACTTAAAAATGTGCTTATATACGCATAGTTTTTAAAAGTTCTTATAAAGGTTCAAACCGAACTGAATAATTTTGATACTAACAGAACCTCAACCATAATTCGTTATCTTTATCGGGCCTAAAAAATGTTTCTTAAGGTTCGGATCTCTGGTTTTAAAGTTTTTGGTGCATTTAACTAGAAAATTTTAATTGGGCCCCATTTTGGTAAGCGTTTTGTATTCTTTAACATTTACTTATTTTTTAAAAATTAGTTTATGATGTATTATATTCATTTTTTGGGGAAATAGGGGGAGGGGTAAGGTTGTAGGGGGGATAATTTTATTAGCTTAAAATTTTATTTACGAAAACAAATTTAGTAAGAATCGCACCCTCGGGCTTATACATATGTGGAGATTTTAAAAGGGAAATAATTACTTGCAAATTTTTTTAAAATTTACCTGCATTCGTTATTTTCAAATAATAATTTAAATAGTTATTGCTTTTAATTCGGGTCGTTTGGGTGATCGTTAACGTATCATGTTCTATATACCGTAATAGTAATTAAAACGATGCCTTATCATTATTGGATATGTAGCATACCAATTTAAGAATAAAAAATAGCAAAAAGAATATAAAATTGAAGTAATGAGAAAAAAAATGATAAGAAAGTTAATAGAAGATTATATGTAAAAAAGAATGATAATAATAACATACATTTAAAAATTAAAAGAGATTAAAATTGACATAAAATTGAGGAGAGTTCACATAAAATTAGAAAAGTAAAATAACAATAAACAAAGGAATAACAAAGAAAGGGATGGGGATTGCTGCTTAATAATTTCAAATAATTAGAATTAATCAAATTTAAAAAAAAAATACATTTTCCCTTTTCAATCGAATTTTCTTAAGTCTTAAACACTTTTCCTTTTTTTGATTCAACCTTTCTCGAACGAATTTTTTTCTTTAATAGTCTTATATTATGATCGCTTAATGTTTTTTCTTGAAACACAATAAAAAAATATATATAAGGGAAATGTGGCATGACTAGGTTTTTGCTTTTTTCAAAAAAGGCATCAAGATTTGCGTTTAACCAAACAAATTTTATATCAATTTGTAGCCCAATTCTTAATCTTTAAAATAAAATTTGAATCAAAGCACTATCCATAAAGTTTATGAGCTATATGAGGTTATGTGAAAGTTTGGCCAATTAAAACATAGTTTGTATTGACTGGCCATATACTATATTATATGTTAAGCCATAATATATTATTTAAGAATTTATTATAAATATATAATATGAAATACTTGTAAAAGACCTATGTTAATATTTCTTCACTTTTAGGTATATAAAAATTTAATTACACACTAATTTAATTTATCATCATCTATTTAATGATAATATTTTATAAATAATCAATATATTATTTATCTTTTTGTAAAATTCTTATTTCAATAAAATTAACCACTATCTATTTAATGATTTTATAAATTATTATCTTAATTATCTATATGTTAAAATGATTATTTCAATTATTTAATCGTTCATCAATTTATTATATTTAATAAACTTGATTAGACAATATATTATTTAAGAATTTTATTATAAATAGGAAATATTACAATAGAAATACTTGTAAATGACCTATGTTAATATTTCTTCATTTTTTAGATATATAAAAAT